TGACTCCATTGAAAGTAATATAATATATAATGAATATTAATATATAAGAATAAAAACCTAAATATTCAATCTTTCATCGACGTATTTGATATGTGTTGACATTTCACCATGCGAAACACAAAAAATAATAATTCGTATTTTACAATAATCGGACACGTTTATAGAAGAAAATATCTCTTGGAAATAATTTCGATCATATTATACAAATGAACATATAGATCTATTTTAATTCTCGTAAAACGAACGATTTCTCAAAATCTTGTATAATTTTTCACTTTGAAATGTACACTTACTTACATATGTCAGAGAGACTAACTAAACTAAATCCAACAAAACCGGGCATTGAATTCACTGCACGGCTTCCGATCGCGGAAACAGCTGCATATAAGTAGAAACTTTTGTACTCTCTACCTGTACGTCATTCTGTCGATCGAACAAAACGAATAAATTTGATTCACCTGTATTATTACATTGATTTTCTAACGTTCTATCCATAGTATTTTATATTATAATTATTCTTTTTTTTTTTTCTCTTCTTTTTCATCGTTCTTTCAATTGCATATATTCGTGTACGTTTTCTGATCGATTATTCTTCTTCTTCTTTTTAAACAAACAAATTATTCTTAACACGTTTTGTATACAATTGTTTTTCGATCATTTTACATGGGTCATATACGAGCTACACAAATGTAATAATAATGCGATAATTTCCAATGATAATTTTTCCAATGATAATTTTTCCAATAAAGTTAATACAAAACGTATTGAATATTAAATTATCGTTGAGATAAAATTTGGTATAAAGCAGATTGAAAATAGGAATTGATTAAACGGACGCTGTTTAGATTAGATTTTTACATTCGAATTAAACAGAGTAAAGTTGAATTCGTGGTATAGTCAGTTTAACGCAAAACTCTTTTTTTCTAACAAAAAAAGAAGAAGAAGAAACCCGTAAAAGTGATAACTAAGTTTACAAAATGATTACGAATGTGTAAAGTAAAAAAAGAAGTAAAGATATTTCGATCACTTACCATGTTGATGAGTTAACGCGAATACTCCTTGAAAAAGTGCCACGCGTGTTTCTGCGAAGAATAGAAGACACTTTCTCCGTGAATAAATGAAAAAAATGAAAAAAATTAACTGCTTCTTCCTTCCTGATCACATTCAATATGATTCCAAGATCAAAAATCAGATCCGAATAAAAATTGTAGCAGATTAACACAATTTGTGATATATATATAAAGTTTAATAGCAAAGATCCGTCGAGTTAATTCGATCGTCGAACTCACTTATACACGTGCAAGCAACAGCTAGGTACATATACCTATACATATTTAAATATATGTGTACACATGTATAATATATATATGTAACACGAAAGGGACAACGCACTGAAGAGGAGAACATGTAGGAGAAGAAAAAAAAAGGAAGGAAGATGTGTGTATAGAAGGTAACGTAAGCGCACGCGTGCGCTACCGTCAGCGCAGCTTTATTAACACGAAACGATCCTACTCCCACTATAGTTCGTTGCACACTGATCGTATAGAACACCGCTCAACGCGACACTACCGCCGCTGATGGGTCACGTACGAACTAAATGACTGCCAATTGATACGTCACCATCTGTCATGTCATTATTGTACTTTTTTTTCTTTTTTTTTAGTCGATATTGTTTTTTACATAATAATTTTTCAGTTTCCTTTTATTTGTTTATTAAATATCATAAATATAAAATTTATATCGAGTAGTGCTATATCGATATAGAAATATCTATTTAATTTGTTTGAAATAAAACATATGATATTTTAATTATTTAATCATCCTATCGATATTAGGAAGAACTTAATTACGTACGAGTGTACGTGAATGTTACATTGCTTTGGTGTTTTTCGATTTTCCGTCAAATAGATTGATTAGAATTAAATGTAATAATTACATTAAAATGTAATAATATTTTTCAGTAATTATGATAAATAATATATTAGAACTGTCGAATGGATTAATTGAAAATGAATTATGTGATATATAGATTTAACGTATATTTTTAACGAATACTTATGGATCGATTTATATCGATAGATTTCAAAATGACGATTGATATAAAATTTCAATAATTTATGACATTAGTTTTCCTTTCTGCTCTCATAAAGTTAAAATTTGCTTTTTTTTCAGGAAAGAAACGCGTACAATTTACAGTAATTTTGGTGAAATCGTCAAAACACTTCCGCTGTAAAGAATATAATTGTTGTCCGACTAGCAGTGCAACTGGCTACCGTTAACGGTAATTATAACGATATCGTACAATGCATTTAAGTGACACACGATGTACAGAAAATAGTATGTATAACGGTGTTATCTCTTAATTAACGAGACTACTACAATATTATGATCTTACGTATCAAATTAAGGAGTAAAATAATAATCGATATAATAATACCTTACAAAAATATAAAAATAATTTATACAACCATCTATTAAAAAAAAAAAACAAGAGAGAAAAAATATAATTAATAATTATTTTATAAGATATGAATTGTCTTATCTATATGAATTATCGATATAATATCAAACTAATTAATAAGATCGATATATTTAATTCCTTAATTTTTAAATTTATATTTATATTATATTAAATTGATTTTCCTACAAAAGTAACAAATAATTTCAAGCAATATCAATAAATTTTACATTAATTTAATACAATATTACTATCAAAAACTTTGTCCGAATATTTCCGTTTTGTTTGTCACCGAATGATCTAAAAATACATGACTTTAATATTTCTCTATGTCAATCTTTTTTTTCATGACCGTGAAACGTTCTTCACAGACAAAATCAGCAAAAAAGAGAGAGAGAGAGAGAGAGAGAGAGAGAGAGAGCTATCTCAAAGATAAAAAAAAAAAGAGAAATAAAAAAAAACCAAGGAAAGATGACGACGACTATGTTAGTAAGATGACTCACACTTTAACGTACACCGTTCAAGATTATGTTTATTCTTGAATATTCAAATAGTGCGACATAATCTTATGTTAGTTGAGGCACACAAATTAATGATTCATTGGTTATATTTTATAGTTATTTCGATAAAGTCTATCGTCGATTATTGCTATTGTTGATAATACATACTTTGTTATAACCGATTTAGAAATGTAAACATATTGCTGTTGCTATTAATCGATTAGATTTTATCATTGATTTTACTTACTGTTTATAATAAACTTTCCGTTGATATCATTTTGATCGATTTGGAAAATCCAAAATTTAATTAGAATAATTTATGATTTTTTTTTGTTCGTATTAAATTTTTCTTACTTTTTTTTTTTTTTTTAATTATCATTTAGTTTTGATGAAATTCTTACTATTTTACGTATGTTTTACAAATTAAATATTATTATTATTATTATTATTATTATTTTTATTTGTATAAAATTCTTAAATCTTGCATCCTCTTTTTTCATAAACTTTTGAAAATTATTTTACGATGAAATATCGTTTCGTGAGGGGGGAATCCAATTACTTATCTTTTTTTTAGTTGTTTTCAGTAGAAAAGTAGTGATCAAATAAAAATGAAATAGAGGTCGCAACGAAATCTTTTATAAATGTGCAACACATCAAGTTGACGATACAATAGGATCGGAAAACCGCAGCAACGTGAAAAGCAACGGATATCGATCGATCGATGCCCACCTCTTTCTGCCGTTTTACGGCTTTCGTAAAGTTTGTTAGGGTTATTGCACTGAATACTATATAATTCTGGTGCATTCCTTTGAAAACACATTTGTCTTCCCACCTTCTCTAACTTCTCGATGAATACATTTCTTATGCGTCTTACCGTCATTTCAATCAGAAACTTTGACTACAATTTCCCATTTATTTACCTACATGCAATAACACTCGATTCAAATATTACATATATTGCATTTTAGAAAACTTTTGAGTCAGCTCTATTTTGTTAATGTAATATTTATATATTTAAAAATATGATAAATATGTAAATATATGAAATAGTATACGTGGGATTAGTTGAACAGCTGTGAATAGAAGTTTGGCTCGAAACCTTTCAAACCGCCTAAATATATTGCAACTTAATATATATTCAAATTTAATGTTATATTATTTAATCTATTAAATATTAGAAAAAAACATCTTTAATATATAAATTATATATATATATAACTAAATAACATTATATATAGTATTTCATTCTACTACTACTACTGTATTTTTATCAATTAAATTTTAGTATTTCACACACACACACACACATATCGAAATAATAATAATATTTTTCAATATTATTTAATAAAATAAAATGATTGAAATATTATATACTATATATTACTTAAAATAGTAAAAAAAAATATATCTCAAAATAGAATATTTTATTATGAAAATATTACACAAATATATAAGGTGTCTTGTATCTAATGGTACAAGCGAGTATAGAGTTGCGTTAAAACAAAATTTAATTATATAATATGAACACATTTTACTCTATATTCTCCCAACTCATGCTAGCTTGTACCACCATTCATAGGACATCCTAATGAATGAAATAATATGGACCACCCTATAAGTATTATACAATAATATGTAATAATAAAATAATAGTCATATCTTTGAATAATTATTAATAATAAAATTAATTAAGGATACGTAACAAAGGATAATTGCATAAACAAAAATGCCAGGAATGTACATAATGCATTCGGAATTTTGTTTTTTTTTTTTGTAAATGAAAAAGATTTACTTTCCTCATTTATTTCATGTCATTTATGTGATCTTACATTACAATGGATCGCGCAGCGTTTCTCTTCTCGTAATAGATACATACTATACTTACATTACAAGTGTTTTTTGTTCTTTTTTAAACCTAATTTCGCTCATTTGTCTAACAATAAGTCTAATCAAAAAGAGTCGTCTCTCGTAAAAATGTTTTTTTACCTCGGGGAGAACATTTCTATCGTTCTTTTTTTATCTCCGATCTATTTTTGTGATCGTAATTAAATAAAGCGATCGATCATCAGCCTTTTTTTTCTTTATTTTATTTTTCTGTTTCCTTTTTCTCTCTATTTATTTCTTTCTTTCTTTCTCTCCACTTTTTTTCTATCAACGACATCCTTAGGAGGAGAACAACATTTTTCTTTTTTTTTTTTTCAACCTATTCAAATGTATCCGCTATAAAATATATTACAATGTTGGTCTTTTCTTTTTCTTTCAATTAAAAAAAAAAAACAAACAGATTAAGATAAAAGTATGAATTATTTTTGGATAAAACAGCCGTTATTGATTCGTTTATTTGTTCATTATTTTTATTTGTAGATCAACATTTTATTATATACGATGGCCGGTTGAAAAATTTTAAGCTACAACAAGAAAACAACTTTTATTTCTTTTTTTTTATAAATAGAAGTGAATTCGACCGAAAATAATTGTTTCCGTGTTTTAAAAACTTTCAAACCGTCCGCGCGAATAAAAAGAAATTTTTCACGATAAATATTCATTGTATTTAATATAAAAAATAATCTAGAATTAGAAAAATATTCGTTTGTTGAAATAATAATAATAATAATAATAATAGTAAAAGGAAAAATATAAATAAATAAAATTTCATTTGTAAATTTGCTTACGAAAGTCGTAGAAGAAGGAACAAAAGTTACTAACTATCGTGTTTATTACATTTTTCCCTATTTCTTTGTTTTTTAAACAACGTTTTTCTTCATTTCGTTTCGACAATCTAATTCTTTTCTTTTACATTAGAACATTTTCTATCATACTTTTCTTAACCTTTCGACAAAATCCTCGGCACAATGCAGGGGAAAATTTAAATCTTTAACTCTTGTCATTTTTATTGTTTGTTTTTCTTTTTTATTAATGTAATATTGATTGCGCAATCCAAAAGAAGGGATTAGCGGGGTACGCACTTGCGTTATCAAAGATTTGTTAATTTACACGCGATTAAACGACGAAAATATCGTCACCTTTTTTCGATTCTTCCCTCTTGTCTCATTTTTTTCTATTAATAAAAATAGAATAAAAGAAACACCCAAACTTTTTTTTTTCTTTTTCTACAAAGAAAATCCTAGAATCCATGCCTTCTATTTTTTCCTTCGACAAATTAATGTCAAATAATATTTTATTTTGTATGTATATGTATTTTTTTGTCAGGAAATAATTACGATTTTTATCCTCACATTGTCCTCGGTGTAATATCTATTTAAACATTTTTCTAGTAAATCCTTCATATACTTGTTCATTTAGCTATTAACGCGGTAAAAATAATAAGAATTCAAAATTAACTTATTTAAAATTAAATAAATAAATACATATATAACCATTGTTCGCAATTCATATGCACGTACGGTAATACTCACGGCAGGATCATGATCATTGTACCGATAATTATGACAGTGTACCAATAAATAAGTCAAAGAATTAATACAAATCTTTTTTGATGATTTATTTTCATATTACAATTATTTATATTATAAAATAAATCGAAATTAATTTGTTAGACTTTAT